CAAATTGTAGCCTAATAAATGAGTAGTGCTATCTCATTAGGGCTGCAGTCTGTATTTTCCTAATGAGTAATGGTGTGGAACATATTTTCATGTCTTCTCAGCCAGGAGTATATTGTTGGTGAAGTGTTTGCTCCAATCTTTTGCCCATTTAAAAAATGTGTTGTTTTCTTATTGTGTTTCAGGAGTTCTGTATACAGGATTCAGATCTACATTTTGCAAATCTTTTCTTGCAATTCATGGCTTGTCATTTCATTTTCTTCATAGCATCTTTCAAAGAGCAGGAGTCCTTAGTGTTGCTGTTTTTCCAGTACTGTGGATTGAGTCAGGGATGCTGGACCACTGAGCTTTTCCCCCAGCATCCCTTGTTCCATCTGAATGGAACCTCATGTCCTGTGTGAGGAACAGTTTCATTGCTTTCTTCCCCATCTGTGTGTCTTTATTGCTTTTTCTTTGAGCTTCAACTAGGAATAATAGAAGTGGGCATCTCTGCCATGGGATTCCTTTAGTATGGCAATCACTTGACTAAAGTTTCTTTCAGGAAGACTGGTGGGCAGCATCAGTGAGAAAGGGGAAGCTGCAGACCCTGAGACAGCTGAACAGAAAGAGAAGCCTGTCTGCTCATCACCTCCCATCCTTTTATTCACCAGCCCATCACTGCCATATATGGGTCCCTCCCACCTGTGACTCCTGTGCTTGGCCCTTATTCCTCAGCCCTGTGGTCTGCCTCTCTTCTCCTCTCTCCAGCTTCTAGTATATCATTGAGTTTGCCTGGCAGCCTTTTCCCTTCTTGCATCCTGTGGTTCTTCCACCCCAGGTCAGGCCATAGGACATTTCTCTTCCCCCTCTGCTCAGAAAGAGGCCCTCCAAGTCCAAGATCCCCAAGTCTCAAGGGACCTAAATGTGGTCTGCCCTCTGGCATTCAACAAAAAAGGCTCCCTTCCATTATTGACAGCCCTAATTTCAGGCACTGATCCCATGCTCCAGCTTTCAATCCCACCATACTCCATTCCTTGACTGCAACTCCTTCTGGAGTCACTTGCTTGGTGGTTGGTGGCAGAGACTCTGGTGAAAACCACGTAAGTTCCAATCACAGCTCTAAAACTGACCAGCAGGGAGACCTTGGGTATGCTAATTACACCTGGTCACTCAATTTAACCTATCTTTAAAAATATGGAATTGTGGGTTAATTCATGTAAACCACATAGAAGAGTGGCTGGTACCAGAAATTGCCCTAGGTGCTGCTGTTACTTCACTACCATTCCTTCCCATGGTCATCTACATATGTTTGTGCCTTATCTTAAAAGCCATACAAGTCCCACCCTTAACATCTCAGGCCTCCACCCCACCTGTTGTACCTTCTGGGTCTTAATCCCTGAAAGACTTGACCTTGTCCACTAGCTCACCCTTCACTTCTTGGCTCAGGTCAGTCTGGCCCTTGCTGTCAGGATGATGCTCTCATTAATGGCCAAAGCCAGCAGATATCTTCAGACTACTCTTTCTGGACTGAAACCATAAGTAGCTGTCTCATCTCTTAGCCTTTGAAACCATAAGTAGCTGTCTCATCTCTTAGCTCTCTGGGCTTATCCTCTGCATGAACTTGAGTGCTGTGAGCTGGGTTGCCTACATGTTTCTCATGATACCCTCTCTCTGCTCTACCCTGGTTATTCCCCATAGTGCTCAGAGCCTCGTGTTGCAGCTGCCCTCACCACTCTGAATATATGCTGGCCCTGCTGTTTGCAGGGTGCTTTCAACACCCTTGCAGTGCCTGAATTTTTTTTTTTTTGGTACAGGGTATTGAACCCAGGGGCACTTTACCACTGACCTACATCCCCAGTCCCTGCTATTTTTTATTATGAATTAGGGTCTGACTAAGTTGCTGAGGCTGGTTTCAAACCTGCCTCAGTGTCCCGAGTCATTGGGATTACAGATGTGCACCATGGTGCCAGTTTGAAAGAAGCATTTTTCATGCCCTGAAATACTTCTAATGGGGGTGCATCTCAATGGTAGAGTTTGTGCTTAGCATGTGCAAAGGCCTGAAATTTTCAATCCCAGCACACAAAGAAAAGAAATCTGAATAAATGAGTGAACCAACAAAAAGAAGCTTCAACATTTGGGAATAGAAGGAAAGAGAGAAAGAAACAGAAGCCTCATGCCCTAATCCCCCAGGATAAGGGGAAGAAGAAGAGGCAGCAGGAAGTTGGTCAGAAGATGGGCAAGAAGAAGATGTCACTGGATTTTGGTCCTGTGGAGTGTGAGGGTATTTGAGACACAGGGGCCCCAGGAGTGGAGCCAGTGAGAGAGGCTGGTCTGGGTGCCTCAGAGCTGTTGAATTCTAGTTGTGTGTGATAGGGTTCCATGTGGGGATAGGAAGGCATTCAAATTTACTGATCAGTTCTGAAAAATTTATTATCATTCTGTGAAGCATTTTCTATACCTTATGTACAATCAATATTTTCTATACATTATATATATATATATAAAAATTTTTCTGTAGGTTTAAAAATTCTGTAATTTTTAAAATAATCTGCCATTAATTAATTTATTTCTTCTGGTACTAGGGATTCAACTCAGGGGTGCTTTACCACCAAAGCTGCATCCACAATCCTTGCTATATTTTGTTTTGAGATAGGGTGTCACTAAATTGTTGAGGGCCTTCCTAAGTTGTTGAGGCTGGCCTTGAACTTGTGATGCTCCAAGTCCCTGGGATTACAGGTGTGCACCACTGCACCTGTTGTTATATTTCTTAAGTGCTGTGAACATTTTAAAGGAGGCAGAACCTCATAGAGGACAATGATTCATTTGTATTGCTTTTTGGACATATTCCAGAGCTGTTCTGATGTAGAATTGTGTTTCCTTCTGGTGGAGAATAGTGTTGAAGATCAAAGTCTTCATATGTTTGCCATGGGAAAGTTGGGGGTGGATAGAGGTGCTGCTGGGCCACTTGCCATTATAACAGAGTGTTTGCTAGAGGAATCTCTTAAAGTTGGGGTGAAACTCAACCTGGTCTGGAAGGAACAGGGTGTGAGGCTGATGGATGTACTCAGCAGAAGGAGAAAGTGGAATAAGGGAGAGGAGATGCCAGTCAGTGTCCAGAGAAGGAAATGACCTTTGAGCTTGACCTTTCCTGCTTTGTGTACTGAAGGACTTCAGCCCAGATTTTTTTCCTGGAAAGTCTGATTTTTGACTAGGAAAATATGTCTGGGCATCTTCCACTGCTTTCCCAGTTGGTGAAATTCAGTTAGGGTAGATTTTTTTAAAAAAAATCAAGAGGTAAGAGAGTAAAGTAGGAGCAGGGTGGTGACACCATCTTTGGATCAGTTGAGCAGAACAGCACTAAAAAGATATTAAAAGGTACCTGGAAGGATGTGGTGGGAGGACAGATATGACCAATGGAGACAGAGCAAGGATCCTGCAAGTTGAAGCACAAGGAGATGAGGAGCTCTGAGAAGGAAGGAGAGGTGGGTGCTGGATCAACACAGTCTGGAAACAGCTGCTCACAAGTGGGTTGAGGGAGGTCACTCTTCCTAGGAGCCTTGGAAGGCAGGAGGCCCAAGGACACTCTTGGGCACCCCTGTACCTAGAGCCTGGCCACAGGCCCAGGTTGAGCCCTGGCTCAACTGATCCACTTATGAGGGTCACTGGGAGATGGCCTTGTGTAGTCCTGTTGATTCTGAGCTCCTTTTCCCTTCCTCATCTCCCTCCAGCACAGTAACCCATTTGACCAGGGCTGCACCAGGAACTGTTATATCACGCTATGTGCCCCCTGTGACCCAAGTGAATTAGTAAACCAAGGGCTCAAGTGGTGGACCCTGCCTGGGGTTGGTGGGGTGTGGTGAAGCTAGATCTTTTTCCCTGGTCCCTGACCCCAGTTCATAGGCCCTGACACTCACTGTTCCTATCCTTTAGGGTTTTCTCCAGGGTGCTCTAGGAGTTTCTGGCCAGCAAGTTCCAGGGTATGGAGATATCTGTGCTGCATCTTCAAAGGTGGGTGTGGAAGGACTCATAAGGCACCATCAGGGAAAAGAGAGTTGAGAAAGCACATAAAATGCCTAATTTCAGAGGTGCAAGATGCCTCCACACAGCCAAGGGCACAACACTCAGACCACATACCTGATTTTCATAGGGTCGCCTGGCATTGACCACCACCACAGCTTTGATGAACAACTGCAGGATGAGCGGGAGAAGGAGGGCCCCAGTGGGTACAGGCACTAGGATGCTTTGCACAGGCTAAGAAGTGAAGCCATGGAATAGTTAGTTTCACCTGTATACCTTTTTACCCAGAAATGTAATTTTTAGCATATGTGTCTTAGGGAAATAATAGAACAGCATATATTAAGGGTTTTGTCCCAGTATTTAGATAGCAAAATGTACCAAAAACTAAACTCAAATATTATTAATGGTAAATTGGTTAAAATATAGCATGACCATTTAATGTACTTCTTGGTTATTTTACATGGATTTAGGGGGAAAAATCTGTCATGTATTGCTGGGCTCAGTGGAGCATGACTGTAATTCC